AAATTCCGACATAATCCACGACATCTTCCCCCACGGTTTTTTCCCCGACGACTAACAGGTAAGTATAATTTATACATATACTAATAAATTTAAAATAAAACACTAACCATTCTTTATCCATGTTTTATTTAGATTTTAAGTCTTCATCTCACGATCATCTGCAAAATACACAAAAGAAAAATAAAAAATAGAAAACTTCTTCAAATTGTCCCAAACTCTAATAATCTTTTGCACCAGCTAAATTAAATAAAATTCATACAAATGTAATAAATTAATTTATAAATTATTTCCCTAAAAGCAGTAATTCTAATAATGATGAAAATTTGTAACTTAATTTTTCCCCAAAACAAGCAATAAAATTGAAATTCTATGTAGTAAATTAATAAAACGCAAATGCAGTACTAACCTTTTGATATTTTCATTCACTCGCACAAGAATTCTATCCAAACTCGCACAGCTCGCCCACGAAGAATTGTTTAAATAATGAATTTCAGTTTCAAGCTTTCACACTCAACAACTCTAACACACGATAACAAGTTTCAAACTTTCCTTTAACCCGGTTGGAAAGGAATTATATACTAAACAAAACTAACCAATGCAGCTTACTAAACACCACAACACATAGAATAACAGCATGACTAAGAAAAGGAAACCAACGGTACCCAAACCGGATTAACCCAGTTTAAAACTGGATAATTTATTCTTTTGAAGACTATTATAAAGTCTAAGAAAGAAATAATAAAACACAAAAAAGTCGAAAGACAAAACCATACCAAAAACAATTTGAATTTTGAAAAAAGGACACAACCAACGAAACATAAGAAAAACCACAATAAACCCAACATAAAACGTTATCACATAACAGGACCTCTCACAGAAACCGCACAAAATCATATTCCCACTCCTGGTCTAACCCACCAGAGAGGACGTCCTGAGCATGCTCTATAGCCGGCCTAACCCACCGCGCTACATCCACGCTTTGTGACCACACTCCTATTTTTAATAAGAGGTACTCAAGGGTGAGTAACTCTTCAAAATAACTGAACTAAAACAGAAAGCTTTTGTGAAAACAACTAACCAAAATCATAACTAAAACACTAAACTAATAAAAATTTTATAAAATAAAAATTATATCTTGCAGTATATAGATCAGCATACAACACCAAAGACGAACATCCAAAGACAAAATGACCCCACTACACTCGAAAAAGAATGGCCAACCACAATCAATATGCCGCCCACAATCACAACTCAAAGGATTTAGAGTACGACTTGACTTCGCAGAAAAGGACTTCATTGAACTAGAACAATGACCACCTCGATGTTCAAGTATACGTACAGATCCGAGTAACCAGGCATCCCCTCCACGCACAATCTCCACGCCATTCCCAGACAAGGTCAAACACAAAGAAGTTCTCTACATGAAACGAAAAAACCTGTCATAGCCAACCATTCTGAAATCAGATTTGAGTTTGTTGCGAAAACCCAGTCGTTGTCATGAGAAGACACAACGAATGAATCTGGAACTTCTCTAACAAGAGAACCCAGACGAAATATGATGTTCGCCAAATACCAACGTCCATCATCCATCTTTTGAATTGCAGAAAGACTATTCTAAAAAACTCTGTAAAACCCGGATGGGTGGAACCTGATCTAAACTACATTTTATGATTGGATAAATTAGATATTTTACCACTGTAAAGTATTTAATATTAACCAATCATGATCCATCTAACTAACAACCCACTTATTTGTAAGTGCTGGAATTACTTGTAATTTCAGCACCAGAGAGATTTGAATTTAACTTAGAAATTAGTTGACTCTCCAAGAAGACTTCAGCAGCCGCAATAAACCAGTATACCCTAGATCTATTGAGCCTAGCAGAGACTAGTTAAACACCCTGAGACTAGATAGTATAAGAGTAAGATTAGGATCGGTATTAGACTAAGAAGTTGCACGAATCTATCCGGCCGAAAATAAGATAGCGTGACGAGCAGACGGTGTACCCTATCCGAAATTACTCTATGAGTTAACCACCTCGGTTCTAACTCCCCGTAGCATTTTCAGGAGAAGTATTTTGAGATAGTTCAGACGCCCTACTTTTTGAAATCATTAACCCGGCAGTAGACATTTTAGTACTGCCAAACATTCCACTATGAACGATGGTTGCATTGTTATCTTTAATTGCTATTTGTGAAGTAGTCATTTTTGGTGCTTCTGACAAAAATGTTCTACCTACAATAGTTTTCACCGGAAGTTTTGCTCGAGTCAGAATCGTAAGCTCGCCATGTTTTAAGTGGTAATATGTGATGTCTTATGTGATGGGAATATGTGATGGTAATATTGGTGCCCGGAGCTGCCGACGCATTTTAAATTTCTCTTGTTGTTTTTGATTGGAATGAAAGAGAACTAGAAAGCATTCTCCGAGATTCAGATGATGTTGTTGTGAATTCTACTGGATTACCAGACAATTTGGTTTTGTCTAAACTTGACGCAAGTGCGTAAATATTTTGATAATTTCCGAAAGATATACCATCGATTGTGATTTTTTTGTCCCAGAATTTGACGACAATTTAACATCAGTTGCAATAGAAAGTTCATTGTTTCCAGGAGTATAAACTGGTTTTGGTGAAAGGGTTGTACTTTGCTTGGGCAACGTCAAACTAGGTTTCGAAGAAGATATGCGCAAATTTTGAGCATCCATTGTATCTGCTTTTAGCCATCTAGGAAGGCTTTTTGAATTAACTACTTCTAAGTTACTTTTTGAATCTAACTGGTTTGGAGATTTCTTTTTCTGCCGCTCCACTTGCTTTCTTGTAGAAGTCCGAGAAAGGTAAAGTGGATTCTTTAAATAGAGTAAATTTGTTTCTGAGTTTAATTGTGCTCGCTCGGATGTCGCGGGCTTCTTATTTTTGACATCATTCAAGGTATCGCAATTTAATTTCATTGATGCAGTCCTAGTTGTCAATGATTGGTCGGAGCTCATTCTTAACGTCGTTGGTGTACGTTTTCCTTTAATATGATCAAATTTAACACCTTCTGGTGAAACAGAGAAGTTTTAGTGGGATTTTTCGTCGACCTGGAGGATTTGATTGTGGTGCAGAGCAATGTAACCGGCTTAGAAACAGACGGAGTGGCTGTGAACTTTGTCGAAGACCGCGTTTGTTTAACACCACAACATAATGCTGGTACAGATCCATCCGATCGAATAGGAAAAAAGATTAATGTTGGGCTGGTCATCA